ATATATATTAAAATACCATATAATTTAAAAGAAAAAAAAAATCAAATGAAGAATTGCTTTTATCATTCTTTTTTTTTCTCTAAACACGTATTTTTATTATATTTTGAAGAAGAAAATTATAATATAAAAAATATTAATGAATGATTAATATATAAAATAAATAATTTATCTCTAAATTGATAATCTGAAAACTCTTTAAAAATAATAAATTATCAAATATTAAAATCAATTAGAATGAAATTAAAATTGAGAGTGTTTATTTGTAAAAGAAGTAAAATTTAATGATTAATTGAAATAAAATTAAAGTTGATAATGTTTATTTAAAAATCAGATAAAGATTAAGGATTGATTAGGATAAAATAAAGTTTATGATATTCATTTATAAAAAGTAAAATTTAAGATGATTGATTACTCTTTTTCTTTTAAAAAATAATAGGGTAATAATTTGAATTTGAATATGGACCTGTTTGAACATGTAATTTAGGTTGAATTCTAAGAATTTAGGCCCAATTCTAAGAATTTACGCCCGAAATAATGGCTTGTTTTTTATTTGGCCCAGAAATCAAGTCTATTTGACCATGACAATTGTATTTATCTATTTAATTTTATTTTAAAAAATTAAAACCAAATAATTATTTTTAATAATTATCATGGCTAACTAATTAAAAATGAGAGAATTGAGAGATTTAGATGCGTAAAAAAATTGATCCGAAACATATTTATATACATGTTGGTATGTAAAACTATAATAAAATAATAAATATTTAATTCTTTAACATTAAAATAACGACTTAAAATAAAGTTCATATATATTATACAAGGTTAAAATGTAACAGATATATTACTTTATATTATACATGCATTTTTATTATTATTTTTTAAATAACATAAGCATATGTGGTTAAATAAGTAACCATACTTATTTAAGAACTATTACAAAATACTCTATCGCATGATTCTTATCGACAACTGTTTTTAATAAGCAAGAACCACTTTAAGATTTTGGAATATAGATGCTCCATGTGAAATATAAAAATAGCAGTACTGTCCAGTTACTAGAAAATATTTATAAATTTATATTACTATAGACTACTTAAAAAAGTAGTGCATATATACATTACTTAAAAAGTCATATATATATATATATATATATAATAGGAGTGACTAATCTCCTCGCTATGTTAGCCCCAAAATTTAACGCGACTACATACACAAGGCAGGATTCGAACCCCTGATCTTGCTTAAACGCACACGCTTGGAGTTAATCATAATTTTATATTAGTACATAATCATTCTCTTTTAAAATCGGTTCTCCTTTAACCGATTTTAAAACCCCAATCTTAAAAGCTATTTTTGCACTAGTGAAAGAAGATGATTGGAGCATTTTTCTTTGTTGCAAAAACTAATTTAAAGCTCTATGTCTTAATTAACGAGGCTTCCAACAAAAGTTTGTCTTAACGAGAGACCAAATTGTCCTATATATGTATTATCTTAAATGAGAAAAATCATGACATAACAAAATTTAAGACAAAATTATTTACAACAAGGGTTGCTTGGGTGATTCTTAATTTCTTATTGATATGGCTTGAAGTGAGTGTTGGAAGAATTCAATATGGTAAGGTTACGAGTCATAACTTACTTAGACTTTGGAAAAAGAAAATAGACATAATTTATAGAAAAAGAAAATAAAACAAAGTTAAAATGAATTAAATTTCTCATGAGTTAAAACCAAGTTATGCACTATATAGCTTTTATAGAAACTCTCTCACCTAATAACTTTTTTAAAATATTTATTTTAACTTTTACATAAACTTAATTTATGTGAAAGAAATTTAATTTATTTTACCTTCTTGTTTTCCTTTTTATAAATATTTAGTGAAAAAAAATTATTCAAACAAAGTCTTTTTCGTTATATTTTTTTTAATATATTTATATGAAGGATATCTCTTAATTAAAATTATAGATTAATACCTTTCGAGAAATTATTAGAGTAAAATTTGTTTTTCTTTACAATTTTTTTAAAGAACATGTGTAAGAATGGAACTTTTATTGATAACATATACATCAAAAATCCAAATATGTACCTGAATTTTATTGGTATTCTTATTTCGTTCGTATGTAGATATTTATGACCGGATCAATACATTTAACACCCTCATTTCTTTGCTTTGATTTGATAGTAGAGCAACAACCCAATTGATTATAGATACTCATGTTTTTGTTTTTAGACGAAGTCAATCCTTATCCTCTGCAACAGCATAAGTATTAGTAAAGTCAACAGTTACCTCACCTAAAAGTCCTTTTATTTCGTGGCTCATATATGATTGCTTAATAATCATGTAATATATGTAGCCTGTAATTTGACAGTAAGGACTATCCTCAACAAATAACATTAATTGCCAATTAGAGCCTAAAAGATCTTGAGATATCGTGATTTCATTAATTCATTTCTTATCACATATCTAATAATTCATCGTCGCGGATATCAAAGAAACTAATAAAAAACTAAATGAGTGGTTAAACATGGAAACTCACATGAAGTATTTGTGTATATCAGAACCTTAAAATAATTAATAATTCAACTGTGAAACAGTAAAAGTTTCGTAACAAAACAGATTAAAAGAAAGTAAAAATACGAAAAGTAAGCTGGAAAATTGACATAAAAAGCAAAGAGAAAAACCAGAATCGGATTGGAATAATAATTGATTAAAATTATAAAAGGAAAGTCGCAAACGAACTTATACGTACATCAAAGGCCTTAAACTTCAACATCATCACTTAGAAGCAAAATTAACAAAATAGGCAATGCAGGTACACTTGGTAGCACAAAGCATTAAAAACATCAAAACACATTTAACAACTTTAACACACACATTTATGTGTATATCCATAATATATTTATGTTTAGGAATCTTAACAATTTAATTAGTTGACCCTTCTGCAGTTCTTCCTTATTTCTCCGTGGGAGCCAGTGAGGGGGCTAATGTTTCCCATCTTGATCATGGCTGCGGAAAAATCAGCGAAAAATGAGGTGGGGTTGGTGCTGTAGGTACGAACAATGGAGTCAGTGGAACCGCCATTGAATAGTTGTTGGTCAGAATGGAGGAGGCCCTTCTTCTGAATGAGGTTCTTGAAGTAGTGATTGTCGAAGAACGTGGGAGTGGCAAGGTCAAGGGGTGCTAGGTTGTTGTCCCCGGACCCCGAGGTTCTAGGGCAACTAGATTGTCTCATGCGGGCAAAGTAGCTATCTATGTTACTGTCATTGTAGATGTGACCTCTAAAGGTTGTGCACCTTGCCTGTCCAATTGTGTGACCCCCTACAATACAATGGTATCAAATGAAAATAAATCACTACATCATTAGTGGTTGCTAAGATAACAAGTTATAAACACCCAGGGTCATTTAATTTTGAGAAATGCTAAGACTGGTTTTTTTAATTTGTATCAAACTGATAACGTACATAATTAAGAAACTCAATTATTTACTGACTGTATTAGATCTTGTTTGTATGATTTTTATTGAATGAATTAATTTGATACCACTTGGAACGTTTGTTTTTAAAGGAATTAGTCTCTCTCTGTTAAATAATCTTATTAAAAAAAAGGGTGTATTATTAACCCTATTGTTTGATGGAGTACCAGATAGCGAGACCAAGTCCTTGGTGGAAAGTCCGAGAGCGTTGAATCTTGAGATGAGTTGGTTGAGGCTCGAAGTGGGTCCGGGGATGTCGTTGTTGGCAGCAGATTGGCTTGCTGTTCTGGCGTCTCTTCTTCCAAGTTTCACATCCCATATTGGGCCTCCAAGCTGATCAAATTGAACAAAATTTTCAGTCATGTCTTGCGATATGTTTGTCATGTGTGTGGAGACATTATATATATAGGAATGAAACGTGCAAGCTGAAAGCTTAAGCAGATTTATTAATTAATCATGATATCAGCATATGAACGATGGCTAGTAATTAAGTTCAGTATTCTATTTAGGAGATAGAATTTAATCATGGGGAAAGGTTGGTATACGTCTTTCGTAACAAACAGAAATTTATTTTTTTCAATACCATCTTTTTTCATATTCAACACTTTTGTTAAAGATGAAGAGAGAGGTGGAGAAGAAAAATTATTGAGAGAAAACATGAATTTGATGACATTTTCCTTTGTTTGAATTGGTGTAAAATGGAAGAAAGAGAAAAGACAAAAGAATAAAAATGACAATAATTTGTTTTCTCCAAATAAAAGACAAAACAAATGAAATATTTGTCAAGGTTAGTGAATGCCTTTGTCAACCTTGTGCACTATCTAAAGTATGACGAGGAATATATTAGCAATGGCTTCGTTTTGTTCTATGCTTTAAACATTATTTTACATTCTTAGTTCATTTCTTTTCTAACACACAAATAATTGCCAGATACTCTTCGTAACAGTACATATAATAATATATGATATGATATTATGGTTAAACTAAAAGATGCATGGCATGCTTATTTCAAATAATTGCTTACGATGGCAACTGAGTCTCTGGCAGCAATGGCAAGGATGTCTGCGCAGGAGACGACACCGGGGCACACCTCTTCCACAGCTGACTTGATTTTGTCTATCACTTCAAATCCTCTTGCAGAGTTCTTGTTAGGACCTGCGTTCTTCTCTCCTGTGAATCTTGACGTGTCATCAAGTAGAATCGAACCATCACACCCCTGAAATATTTATTTATTCAATTTAATTTAATTAGCAAATATATTTTGCCCCTTTATGTATAAAAAAATTGGTTAGAAGAAAATATTTCACTAAATTGGTCAACAAAATATATAAACAAAAATTAGTTATCCACAAAATTAGTGAATATTTCACATCAATTATATGTTTGTAAAAATATATCCGTTATTTCATGTAAAAAAACAGAAGTGTTAAAAATGAAGGTTGAAGACAAAATTTATATATCAAGCTAACTTACTAAACAGAATTAATAAATAGTATTTAAGGAATGTTGCAAAATTACATTAACAAAGCAATCGTGGAAGAACAAACGTAGGAGAGAAGCACCCATGCGAGCCTCCTTGGATATGGCCGATTCCACTGTGCATTTCACAGTGTCAAAGAGTTTTGGGCAAGAACTGGAGTAGAAGTTTGTGTAAAGTGATGCATTGGCACTCCCCGACACGAGGGCCAAAAGGGCAAAACTCATTATAAAGCTAGAACAAAACGAAGCCATTGCTAAAATCCTACAAGTAAGTAAGTAATTAGCTTATGACTGTGTTTTCTAAGTGATGCATGTCACATATTTATATGGCCACTGGGAAGGTTTGTCAATGCGAGATTAAATCTCAAGGTGCTTTGATCTCTACCATAACCTAACCTAACATAGTTGAATTGTCAATGCATGGAGTGTTAATTTACTTGGCTTGTAATTTGATTAATCAAAATACAAATAACGGTCGATGTGAAGCTGCTTCGTAATTTCTTTGAGCCAGTGACTTGTGCTGCCGGCTCGCCATGATTTGTCAAAGTGTTGGCAAAGTAGTTAGTAAACTTTTTTCTTCCTCCGGGCTCTGGGGTCCCCTTATTATATTACTTTATATAATCCACAATTTGATGTGTGATATTTTCATGCGATCGACACAACTAGACATATAACTCCGAGAAATGCAAAACTATGATTACTTTTATCAAAAGATTCCAAAATACACTCAGTTTTATTCGGATAAAAAATTGTTTGAATTGTGTGAAGGAAATATGTAGTATATATACCTAAATTAATTTAATCATATATATAAATACATGTTATATCATATCTCTATCAAATGACAAACAAATAATTAATATTAGAATTTTGCATTGATACCAAAGGGTTTCATATTTAAACAATCTTTGCTAAGGAATAGTGGACCAATAAAAAATGTGAGTGACACTTCCCTCTTTTTGACAAATATAGCTATGGTTTTCATGTACTGGAATGAAAAACAAATTTTTTAGTTATATCATATGAACTTCTCAGTAGGTATTATATGGATAACTTGCATAATAGGCCAACCAAAACAAAAAGTTAATTACAATTCCATCAATTAGTAAAGTATTATAAATAATTAATTAATGCAAATCTATAATAAGTAATATAAAAAGTAATTATTATTAAATTATCAAAGAGTTGTGTATACTGTTGCTCCATCTAAAGTCTTAGTTTTTGGGATTTTAGATTTTAGATATAGGATCCCGACAAAATTAAATTTTGTTATAAGAAATGTTATAATTGATCAGAATTTGCTGTGCCTGTGGACTGTGGTGCCCCTTACACAAGAGCGATTAAAAGTCTTCATCACAATTGCTTTTCTGCAGTTTTTCGACACAGGTGTGGTCCTTAACTTATTCATGCAGTGACTTTTATTATTTTTTACTTACAGACTATTCTGAATCACATTATAAATATATTATATATGGCGGAATTGTGAAAAGGGAAGAACTTGGGAAGGGTCAGAAGATCAATTTAATTAGTTGATGGTAATTTGGTCAAGCATTGTTCTGTTTGAAAAAAAGAATCGTAGACTGTAAGAAATTGATGGATCTCATAAAGGTTCAATTATCATGGATATGCTTAAAATTAGGTAGATTTTGTCTGTTTTGGCAATGATGTATAAACTCTTTACGGAGTATATATTATATCATGCACTTTTTTTTTCAGTAATTGATTTAATATAAAATTAGTTTTGGTTGAAATTGATTTTAGTGTGAAGTGATTATTTATATTTAAATTTAGTTTATATATGTTTTTAGTCTCAGTAAATTTATTTTTATCTTTTAAATTTAAAATTATTATTTTTAGTTCATGTAATTTTTAAAAATATTATTTTAATTTTTTATATTACTAATAACATATCTAAAAATGATAAATTGAGATAATTATATATCATAAATTAAATTTAATATGATATTTTTACTAATAAGGATATTAATAGATAGATTTATGCCACAATATTTAATAAATTTTTTAACAAAATTTAAATATAAAAATTAAAATAAAACTTTTTAAAATTATAGAGATTAAAAAGATCATATTTATATTTTAGATATTAAAAATAAATTAACCAAGCCTTTGAATTTTTACGGAAGAGAACGTTTGACACAAAACTCATGGGCATTGGTAGGACAGGATATCGATATTCCTATGTATTTGATACCGATAATCATACCAACATATTCTATAATTTTAAAATTTATAAAAAAAAACTAGTCATAGGAAACTTCAAATGATTTACATAAGAAATTGCTAAATAATTTACATAAAAAAGAGATGGAATTGAGATGGAATATTACATATGTAGTTATGTGAAAAAGAAAATAGAAATTGAGTTTTTTTTTGTAGTTCATTATAAAGACTAAATTCTTTGTGCACGAATAGGTAGACGCTTTTTTTCCAACTTAAATTTCCTGTAGAGACGAGATAATATTTGATATTTACTACCTTTACTTATATTGTCTCATAAGATCAATTTCTAATTTAGAATCTAATTTAGAGTAATTGCTTGTTGTTTTATATAAAATCTAATTTATATTGTTTTATATATTAATTATTTTTATATTAAAATAATTTTATTTCTACCAAAAAAATTAAAATAATTTTATTTATGTGTTTTTTAAATTTAATAAAATATATTAATTATAAACTTCTAAAAATTATATACTCTAATTGATTAAAAAAAAAGATTTAATTAAGAGAGATAAATAATATAGGATATAAATTTTAATTGGTTAGAAAATATATAAGTATTAATTAGGAGCATTTAGCTCATGGTTGATGATATATACACCTTCATTTTTTTATACATACACCCCCTTTTTTTTAAAAAAAATATTAAATTCTTAAATTATCCTTAATATTATTTGGAATAAAAAAAATTATTCTGGAAAGTGTTTTTCAAAGGTTGATGATATATACACCTCCTTTTTCCTATAAGTACACCTCCTTTTCAAAAAAAAATAATTAAAATTTTAAAATATTCTTAATTTTTTGCTTTTTTTTTTGTAAATGCCCTGATAACATTTAAAATAAGCATTTAGATAACAACCCCACAGAAAAGCACATCACGTATCACATTTTAGACATGTTTTGATAAACTTTTCATACACTTATATACCAGGGGAAAATAAAAAGATGAAATGAATAAAAATTTTCTCATTAAGTTATAATACAACTTATACATAAACTAATTTATAGAAATTCTCTCATTTAGCTTATACAAAAGTTGATTTTAACTAGTGGATAAATTAATTTTAACTTGTAAGATAAACTTAATCCATTTTAACTTGTATTTATAAAAAAAATTATTCAAATAGGGCCTTAAGCCTTGAACTTTGCATCTTTATGACTGGTGAATACTGAATAATGGGCAAAGGCTATTATGGGGTATGGTTAAAAACTGAAACTTGATAACCTGAGAAGCAGCAGTTCCAAGAAGAGAAGGCTTGAGGCCACTATAGAGTCCACCCCAACCCTCACTTCCAATGACCTGACAAAGGGTCACAAATTCAATCAAGACACCATCTAAACAGAACCAACCAAAAGAGAAAAAATTGAGCAAAGTTAGAACCTGAAAGATCTGAAGAAGAGTGCCAGGAGCTTTGGTCGAGTTGGAGGACTGTGGAAGCAAACTTTGCTTGTTCCTTTTGAGTGTTCTCTCAGTTTGCTGGCGCGTGTTTACCTGAAATTGCAATGGAATTGGTTACACGGCCAAAGGAAGAATAAAAGAGATAAAGAGAGTACCGTTTGAAGAGGATAAGTTATGATTTGAGCAATAATTCCACCACCTGCACCAGCCAAACCATTTGCAATTGCGTTTGATTCTGACATGGTTGTTGTTACTCTTCTTCCTTGTTTCTGTGTCTTGAATCTTAACTCATTTGAGCTTCACTTCACACACTTCTTCCAAAGAGAAGATATAAAGAATAGGTAGAAAATGGCAAGACTTTGACTTCACATGGTAAAAGGAAAACTGTTTTTATTGGTAGTTAGTTATATATGGTTATTATTTGTGTTGTTAACAATAACTAGATATATCGTGCCTTGCACGAGAATTAGTGTTTTTATTATTATTATTATTATTATTATTATTATTATTATTATTATTACTATTAGGTTAAAATTCTTATTTGGTCTCTTATAATATTTTTTTGTTTCAATTTAGTCCTACTTTAATTTTTTGTTTCAATTTAGTCCTACTTTAATTTTTTGTTTCAATTTGGTCCCCAATAATTTAAATTATTGCAATTTGGTACTTCCGTCTAAATGATTTAAACGGAGTTAACTGTTGGCCACGTGGATGCCAGGTGGATGTCACATAGATACCACGTAGATGGATGCCAAATTTCTCGAATACACCTGGAACTATATATATATATATATATATATATATATATAACATTTGTTATTAACTAAATTAAATATTTCTTTTTAATTTTGACAAATTAAAGTAGTTAGATCTTATATATAGGAACAAAGTTAGTATTTAATTAAACAATAATAATGAACTGATCCTAAATTTTTTGATGTCTTAAATAAAGTAAAAAATAATGTTTTAATAAATATTAAATTATTACTTATAACCATAATTCTCAAACCTAAAAATATAAACTTACAAATAGTTAAATAGGCAGTTTCATAAAAATGATTAAATGTATCATATATTGGTACGAGATTATATATATAAGTTATAATTAAAGATCATCATAAAAAATAAAAAATAAATAAAAAAGTCAGAGTTAAAGGAGGGTGCATGGAGTGGTTGCAGATCGTGCATGCTTTTCTCTTTCATTTCTTTGTTTGAACTGCATATACTCGATATGTAAAAATATTGTATTAAATATTTATATTTATATATTATAATGGTAAAAGGGCAAAAAGCTAATCCCCATTAAATAGATAACAGCTCCATCATGTGTTAGTAAATAAGTTAACCAATGATTAGTTTACAAATATACCAACTTTTTGGGTTTGAATACAGAAAGAAACGGATAAACTCCTCAGTCGCGTACAACCAAATAGTTAATCTATTGAAATTAGGTAAAGAGTAAGCATTTCGTGTATCTCTTTATTTTTTAAATAAAAAATTATGTAGTAAGTAGTTACGTGAACAATTATTTAAAGAGAATAAAAATTTGAGTAAAAAAGACATTAAAAGAGAAGAAATAATTTAAATTTATGAATAAAATAAAAGAGAATAAAATTGTCCATTTAAAAATAAAAAGTATATTAATTATTAAAAGAAATATCTCTTTTACATTACTTATTATTTAAAGAAAGTGACATTACAAGATGAATAACATGCAATACTTATAAATAATATATACACACTAATATTTTAACATGATAAAAAGTTTATTTTATATAACTGAAAAAATTATAATAAATAAATATATTTGAATGCATAAATAATATTAAAATTAAATTTAAAAATAAATATGAAAAGGATAAATTGAAAGAATACAATATTACGAAAATGTCTAAAACTATCGCTAAATAAAAATTCCTGCAAAACATTTTTATCCAAGATAAATATTTAATATTATATATACATAAATACATGTACATATAGAGAGAGGGGAAAACAGGAAAAAGAGAGAGATTTAAAGAACACTTCAATTCATTTAGTGTGGTAGAGATGCTAGAAAAATAGGAGAAAAAGAAAAATTAGACAAAAAGATAAATAAATGAATAAATAAGGCGAGGTTGTTTAATTTATTTACATATAAAAAAAATTTACATAATAAATCAGCTTTGAGGAAAAAAATTTGTTACAAAAATAATCATCCGTTTCAAATTTTCTATACACGAAAACAACATTTTTCAGAACAAAAAAGTTATTTTTTTTTTATACAAATTTTAGCTCTTCTTACAAAAGTATATACACAACTTATTTTGCTAACAGTTTTTTTTTTTCCATAAAAAACAGTTGAAAATTTAAAAATTATATCTTCACAAAAGCACTCAAAGCGACATGATCAATTATCAGTATTGTTTAATACAAAAAAGAAACCTTTATTACTGTGATTTAATTGATTAAATATTTGATTTAATAAATTAGATAAAAAAAAGTAATTGACTTTATTATTGATTCTATTAAATCATAAATCAATTAATTATTTAATTAAAAAACATTTTTATATTTATCCATTACTTATTTCTTTTAATTAAATCAAACACATTTATTTTTATTATATTTCCCATCTATCCTTATTTCTCTCTTTCTTATTTTCGTTCATATTATTTCATACTTATAATTTATTTCCATCATATTAAACAAAGTGCTACAAATTAATGAAATAAGATGAGTGCGACCTCTCATATACCAAACCCTTTCTTGTTAATTTCACTCAATGATACCCCTGTAGTTACAAAAACATATATAAATCTAATGAAAATGAAAACCATAGTTGTTATCAATTAGATTATATATTAATCTTCTTTTTTATATCCGATCTCTGACCATTTTTAGTGGTATTTATAGAGTCAGTATTGTGTGTGTATATATATTTGACCCACCACCCCACCAAGAAAAGAAAATGACCTGTAAGTTGATTTTGGGGGACCAAGTAGGTTTGTTGAAAGAAAAAGCATACTTCAACTAAACTATCAGAATAAATACGATAAGAATCAATAAATTCTGGATGACTAAGGAATACTTTGTCGCATTTTATTCCCTGTACCTTTTTTATATTACCGTTGGAAACATTGGACTTCAATTCCATGTGCATGTTGAAGAAAATTGCATGTTGTGTGTCTTTTGGAAAATTAGGAGGAGCTTTATTTAAGAATTATTGATTTTGACCATGATTAGGCTATTACTTGTCTTTTCATCATTACAAAGTGACTCATTCTGAAATATTTAAAGTTTGACCGAGTGAAACGAATCTCCCAAAGCCTCATGCACTCTTCTATAGTTATATATATTAGTTAAGATAATCAAGCCTTTATTATAACCCCACCGCTAAAATAAGATTAACTAATACCATTAATTTACTAAGGAGATTCAATTCGAGTGGTTTGACATAACATAACTACTGTTGCTAGCTGTTCTTTTCTTCTTCTGGTAGCATGTCCTACACAATATTTATGCCACCAGCCTTGAAACTTGGTTTAAATATAAATCATACAGTATAGGTTAAATATATTTGTGGTTTTTTATTGTATTTTTAATTTTATTTTGATATTTTAAATGTTAAAATTTAAAACATTTATTTTATTCTTTTTTATATTTAGATCAAATAATTGATCCTTTTAAAATAACAATAACTTTAAACTTTACAGCACAATTTTAATTAATTTAAGATGTAATATTAGAATTACCTGTGTGAAAATTACAATTGATGTTTGAATTAAAATGAGTTATAAATATAATAAAAATTATGTAAAAATATATCACATGAACAACTAAAAAATAATATGAAACTATATCTTTTGATAATTTTTTTACTTATTTTTATACGATTTTCATTATATTTATAAAAAAAATTATTTAAACTTTAATTATATTTAATACTTTTTATATAAGTGAATCTAATGAAAGATAAATAAAGTCTTAAATCAATTAAAAGATGTCTCAAAATTAAAAATAATTATTAATTTTAAAGGATCAAATCGATTTGAATTTAATAAATAAAATATCAAAATAAACATTTTAAAAATAAAAAATCAAAATAAATTTAATAAATAAATAAAAATAAAAATTTAATACGGTATATCAATACATTTTTAACCTTAAATATAGAATGAGCTTGAATGGTAATTATATTTGGCGACTTTTGGCTGGTAATTTGGTGCATAAATGTTATACTTTAATTACTTTTACAAGAAATTCAAGTGGGCAAAACTTCCGTCACAGGATATTGCTTTGGTAAAGTGAGACAAACATAAATTTAATAATTTTAATTTATTATGATGAAATATAACATTTATTAGTTTTATATTTGTATTCATAAGAAGTTGTGCTTATACGTACTATTTAACAAATGAACTCCGATGGGAGAAAGATTCTGCATGAAAATCAATTACAATTTAATATGGCTCTCAAATGCAGGCTCGTTTTACTTTTAATTGTATAATATTTTTGGAAAAGCATAAGTTGATTTTATTTTTACCTAACCATCTGCCAAAGATGCAAAGGATCTGGACTTTTTGATTGGTTCACATTGCTATTGTTTGAATTGTCAAAAGTTTAGACAATTGATGGAGAGAAAACAAAGTCTTAAAGACTATAATACTTATGTTGCCCTTTATACTTATAATATACATGAACTGGCTAATTTGGAAATTGATTAAATTAATCTCTTTCACCGCTTTCTTTTTTTAATTTTATATGTACATGGACGATGAATTAGAATAATCTTACTGATTCAAGTAGCACTCGTATATATGGATGGTTCCCAATAACTTACATGACCACACTATGATTTTATTTTTCCACAATAATAACAATTAATTAGTTTTCCTAACAGCTGAAGATTTACCCAACAAATCAATCATTAGTACTACTGAAATGATTCAAATAATTATAGATAGTTTTTTTTTTTTTCCTTTTATACCAATATCTTAAGGATCCGCAACACAATTTCTTATACTTCAACTGATGCTTATTAGCATATGTCAATCAATAAAGTTATTTCTGAATTATTTTTAGTTAATAATCAATATTATAATATATTTTTAAAATTAGCTTTTGAAATTAAAATTATCTGATGTTATGAAATTAACGTTATATTTTATAATATTAATGTTATATTTTGAACGTTATAAAATTATTTTTTAATATAATTTTATATATCAATACTTATATAAATAAAGTTTATTGTATATTTTTATTTACCAACTTCTTAATTTTTTTCTTCTTCTCTTTCACTTTTTTGTCTCTTAAAATTCTTTCTTAAGTCAATTTTATATATTCTTAATTATCTATTTGATTTATTTTCATTGAATAGAATCAAATGATAATCAAATTAATCCCTATTTTAATTTCGTGTCATTCTATAAGCATGGTTTAATTTATAAAAATTACTTATTATTTTAGTTATGAATCTTTTTTTAACTTGTAATTTTTGTATTATTGTAATTGCATAATTTAGTTGGCTTCATTATTTTAAATAAAATTTGATTAAATTTTTTTTATTGTGTATCATGAATTTTTTTTCACAAAACAGTAGAATAAAAATTTATAGCTTAATAAAAAAAAATAAGTCAATAAGTAAATTTTTGATAATATATAAAAATGTAAGAATTTTTGTGGGATTCATTTAAGAATTGAAAGAGAGATGTCAAATATTGAATTGAAGAGGAAAATGTTTATAAAAATGCTTAAATTAAAAAGAATAAAAATAAATGATGCATACATGTAAGTCTTACTTAAGAATCTAAAAAAGATATATCTGTTAATGATATCCTAAAACTTTACTTTAAATTAATTTAATTCGATTAAAAATAAGTAAAATTTGATTAAAAATTATTTCTATTAAAGATTAAATTTAAACACTGTTCGAATAGTTAAATTAGTCTGCAGTACAAAATTAAAATAATTAAACAACATTCTTTCCATTATATATTATTTTCAAGGTATATTTCGCACATTATTTTTATAATTAGATAAAATAAAAGTTACATCCTTACGGTTAAGTTAATTTATAGATCCCTATAATTTTAAAGACTTTAATTGAATCTTTATAGTTTAAAACATTCTAAAAAAATATTATTAATTTAAAAAATTAATTAAATTTATATACACTAATTTGGTAAAAAGAAATTACACACTAATTAATGTTGTTATATTTATTAATTTATATTTGACTTAATTTCACTTTTCATCTTTTAAATATTATAATTATTCAATTTTAATCTTCTAAGTAATTATAATTTTCTCTAATTTACAGTTAAATCTCTATAAATTTAATGAATTATGCTGGTATTGGATGATGATGATGTGATGCTTTTTATAAAGAATTTTTTTAAGGTGTTTCTAATTATAAAAGACTTAACTAATAAAAGTTCTATATAATTATAAGAATTTATAAATTAATTTAATTAAAATTTATTAATGAATTAGAAAGTTTGTTATTAAGAAAAAAAATCATTTACCCCTGTCTTTATTTAAATATATATTAGACATTTCAAAAGTTTGAATTTGTTTCAATCTAGTACTATTCACTTCATGATTGCTATACGAAGCATAAAAAAAAGTACTATTCACTTCACATGACTTTATTTTAGGTTAAATTAATTCACAAGTTCCTACAGTTTTATTGAAATTTTAATCAAGTCTTTCTAATTAAAATTTTTAAAAATATTTTAATTAATTAAATTCTTACATAATAACACTAGTACCTATATATAAAAATGATTTCTTATTTTATGGACATAATTTTTGAATTATTTTATTTTAAATTTTTAAATAATAAAAAATAATATTAAAAATTAATTATTCTTACAAATTCAAGATCCAAATTTAAGATTTTGAAATTTAAAAATTAAACACAATATCTATTAATTTAATAAATATTAATAGTTTTTAAGTATCATACAGAATGTTTTTGATTTCATATCTCTATTAATTAATTTACACTAAATGAATATTGTGATGTAGCAATGATTTTTTCTTTGTAATGTACCAAAGAAAAAGAATAGTTTTATTTTATTTTATTATGATGATCAAGTAATATTCTAACGTGACAATTATATATTTTTTTTTGAGCAGATACGCATTTCATAAGTCTAGGCTGAACCAGTCAAATGGATTCGAAATCCGGTGACATATCGTGGTTAAAAAACAGTTGGATCAACCATGATTTTCGTATTTTCTCGTGATGCCTCGTTGCTGAACATGAATTTATGCATCACGTAAACGTAATTAAAAGCAAAACATACGATAACCATGCAGGTCGTGACTCGTGAGAATCAAGCCATGTTCATTGCATTTTTGGACTGCTTTCATAACCGCTACACCACTTCAACTTTTCTGGTTTTGTTTGATAACTATACTATGTATTATGTTATATTGTTTTTTTTTTTATCAGTAATACCTAATGCTATTGACTATTTTTCTTATATACAAAAGACAATTTTAAATAAAATAGAAATTGAATTAAAATAAATGTGTTTATTTAAAATTTTAGTGATCATTAAATCAATATATTTTATTATTATACAACTTACTTACATAATTTATATAGTATATTTTTAATTTAAAATTATATATTTAATTATATTAATTTTATGTAGTTAATCAATTTATAATTTGATTGTTCTATCAATATTATATTAACTACAATTTTTTTAAAAACCTTTTTAAAACATAAAATAAATGATATTGTAATTTATAAATACGAAATATATATGACTTGAATATTTTTTTAATATTTTAATAAATTCAAATCATACAAATTTAATTAGTAATTTTTTATTTAATTTCTTACTTATTAACTTAATACTCTGAGCAGTTTAATAATAATCCAATTTTTACAACATTTCACATGAAGTGTAGCTAGTGATTAACCCAAACTATGTTTGGTGGGTCCTATTGCCTTTTTAGAGGTATCCCATGTTGGATTTAGTGTAGGGGTCGTGGTCTCTACCTATTTTACGGAAGAGTGCTTACGACTATCTGGTGTTTGAGAGTGATTTGGTGGTTTTTGAGTTGTGATTGTGGTCAAGCTAGGGGCAGTTGAATAATTAATAGAATCGTGGTTGTGGCCTTGGCCCATCTGAGCATAAGGGGTGGATTGTTTATTTTACTCTTCTGTATATTGACTCCAACAGCAAATGATATTAAGGATATAGAAACCAATCATAAAAAGTTATCACTATAATAGAATACCCATAAAAAAATTTATTATTATCATACATAAGAGTAATATAAAACGGGTCAACTTGTTCTATTTTGCCCCAATTTGTCATTAATTAGCTTGCTAAAAATGGAGCAAGAGGGGACAGTCCTCCTAATAATGGATTAAAAATTTAATTTGATCCACAGTTTTTTTTTTTTTTTAAAAAGAAAGACCACAAAGATAATAGTAATGGAAATCAAATTTAGATCTTCACATTTCTAATTATCTTAATCACTCTTATTGATCATGCTAATTTTAGTAGCCTAAGATTTTTATTTTAATATTAATTTGATTAATTAAAAAATTTAATCAAATTAATGATTCAAAGTATATTAATAGTTTCTTAAACTTAGCATAATTTTTTTATCTCACTATTAGAAAACAATTTACTATATTTTAAATTTTAAAATTATAATTTATTATATTTGGGTTTTTTTTTAATTTTAAATTAACTTTAAAGTATGTAGCAAACATATCTTTAACAATGATTGATTATGCACTATTTTGTAACACTCAAGTTTCAAATTTATTACACATTTAAATATAAAATAAATTAAAAAAATATTAGACTCAACAAGTTAGGCATGATGGATTGCGACAAATTGGTGGATTAGACATGTTATTACACCTGACATATTAATTTTGACAAGTTAGACGGACTTGGTCATTAAGTTCAATAATTCGCTTTATTGTCTCTAATTATGTTACATTATAATATTCAATATGTATAAATTAATAGAATTAGCATGTAAAGACTACTCAATTATAAGATTTTTTAATTATAAATAATTTTTAAAGTGCATTTTTTTAATTTAACTACAGGAATTTAAATAAAAACTCAATAAATTATAGAGATTTACAAATTAATTTAATCTTTATCTTATTTTAAATTATAATAAAAATAATTAATAAACATCGAATTTAGGATAATAAAAATGTCAGCGAGTCATTTTCCACGTGTTGCGGTGAAGATAATAAACACGGTTACAATATATGTGGCATAACTATAGAGAAACCCAAGCCAAAACATGTTTTATAGAGAGAAGATGATGACGCCTAATGAGTAATGATATTGATACATAAAAATTGATCACACTTTGCCTTCCACATGAACACACACAGTCTCTTCTCCCATGTTCTCCCTCTTGTAAATGTATCTACTTGATACCCAAAGAAACGCACCTAAATTCATAATCGATAGGACTAACAGAAACACATAGTAGTAATCCAAGTGACAATCGTTTAGGTTGTCACCTATCCATCTCTTTCTCTCACTCCTTGTAATCTTATCAACCATCGTCACCAAAAAGCTGTTCAAGAAGTTCCCAACACCGATCCCACTAGTGAAAAACGTTGTTCCAAGACTTCGTGTGTCTTCTGGGGATTGATCGTAGAAAAATTCTAGCAATCCAATGGCATTGAACACGTCAGCTATCCCAATTAGAACGTACTGAGGCAACAGCCACAATATACTCATAGGGACAATGTCTTTAGGACCAACTATGTGATTTGCTTTTATGACATGCATTCTTCTAACTTCAACTGCATAAGCAATTGCAATGGCTACAATCTGAATTGAAAATCCAGTTCCGAGCCTTTGAAGCAACGTGATTCCTCTAGGGTTGCCCGTTTTCCTACTCATGAATGGCACAAAATATCGGTCATATATTGGCACTGAGAGAAGCATGGAGAGGGTCACGAAGCTCCCAAGAGAAGCTGCTGGAATTTGAAAACTAGGACCAAGCTTTCGGTCCAAGGTTATACCTTGTTTCACGAAAAGAGTGTTTATTTGAGCCCAAATAGTGCTAGGAATCAGGGTGACAAGCCATATTAGGACCATACGAAACACAAGCTTGAATCCTTCCACTTGGGTAACGCTCAACGGTGCCCTTGACGAACCAATGTTACTGCCTTCTTTAATTGCAGCCTTGTCCAAAAACCTAAATTCATAAAGTGCACTCACTTAACCCATGTTTGATATAGTTGCCAAATTAAGTCTGGGAAACTTTAAAAACTAAAATCAGCGTCCAGGGCCAAGTGATTAAAGGGGAGGGGTCTTTAATTAGATATATATTAAGAAAAATGTTATCAACATTCATTTTAACACTCTCTTACTCGTATCTTTTTATTATTAATAGATAAAAATCATAAATTTTGATTTGTTCTACCGATAAATTATAAGAAAGATTAATTAAATGAGATTCAAAATTCACAAAATTTATGATTTTTAATAATTTTTAACTAGTAAAAAAAGTCACATTTTGTATGCGTTTTAGTAATCAGAATATCACAAAACAATATTATGAAAGAGATAATTAAAAAAGAAAATAAAGAAGATAATAAGTATAATGTATGATAAGATGAACAAAAGAGAGATCGAAAGAAGTGTAAAATGAAGGAAAAATTGAGGTGTGAAAGAATGAGTGTTAAGATAACAAATGCCTTTTCAGTTTTCAAATTTTACTGTATATTACCCCACCATGTCGCCACTACCAATACCATGAGCCATATCAAGTTGTCAAATGAACAGTAACTCAATCAAATCAGTTTTCTATACCACAATCATGCATTGTAATTTGTCCAAAATTATCATTACGAAATTGTGTGCTCGCTCCAATATGTTTTCTTTTTAAGTTTCTCTTAATTGTTAGAGTGCAAGTATAGACAGATTCCCCTCCTACCAACCTCAGAAAAAGAAATAGCTAGAAATTGCTCCACAGAAAAAAGAACAAAATAGTGTACCTCAAAGCTGATGTGTGATAGATTTGTCGTTTTCCACAACTAATGTAATGTTGATGCTCGTGCTCATAAAGACCTGAGGGGTTAGTAGGGAGTTGAAGTCTTCGGTTCCTAAAGGCAGCAATTGGGACACAAATTAGGTCTCTTGCAGGACTTTTGCATGTCCTATCTTTATGGCGATAAATTGGTGTCCCAATATAGAAAATTACAAGGGACAATAGAAGACCAACCGTTGGAATGCCATAGCCTAGACCCCATCCCAAATTCTCTTGAATGTAGACTAGGCCTAAAGTGGCTACCAAAGCACCTAAGAATGAGGTGAACATCCACCAGTTGAAGAAAGAGGCCTTGATCTCTTTCTCACTGGGATTAAAGTCATCAAACTGGTCTGCACCAAAGGTTGAGATATTGGGTTTTGTTCCACCAGCTCCAATTGCCATAGTGTAGAGTGCCATGTAAAAAAATGAAATTTGTAAGGTGGAAGCCTTGCTGCAAATGCCGTTGGTGCATGTTGGCCTCAAGCTCTTGAGTGATACAGCCAAAGTGAGAAGAATCATCCCCTGTGATGAGTAGAAGCACAAGTGTATGTAGTGGTTTGCCAAACACATGTACATGTAAAATTATATTAAAAAAAAAAACTATCCACGTAAAATTATATATATAAAAAAAAAAAACTAAATAAGGTCGTGCATAACATTCGTTTGGACTTGTGTGTGCGTAATATGGTATGCAATACATCGGCAAGAAATGTTGATTTGAGTGGATCCAGCCCAGCCCGGTAATTCAGGGTTTGTTTATTGTTGCTAATTGGACTCTATCAAGCTAGGCCATGGTGAGGAAGTGAAGTTTAAAAAGTAAAGTATAAGTATAATTGTTTACTAGAAACTCAATCATTTCAGGGGATATAAATCTTAAGTGCATAATTAATATATATATATATATATATATATATATATATGAGGAGACATTAAGTAAATTTACTTAGATTTATTCTATTTAATAACTCATATTTTACATCAAATTTTAATGATTTAACGATTGAATTTAAATATTTTAATGCATAGATTAAGTCTGTAAATTTTTAAAAAAATTTAAAAATTATTTAATACTTCAGTACATTAATTCAAATTAACATGCAAAATATTTTTATAAATATTAGTCAATTTAAATTGATGAAATTCAATATCAAATAATTTTTAAATTTTTTAAAAATTTACAGACTAGATCTATACTTTAAAACTTAATTAAATGATTATATATATATATATATATATATATATATATATATCCAATTTAATATTATCTTATGTAAGTTAGTTAAGCTTGTTATCATTTTTTTAATTATCTTGTATAGTTGTATACGATAATAATTTTAATTTATATTTATATTTATATAAAATATTAAAATTTATTTAGATTAAAATAATTAAAACCAACCATTAATTAAAACAAATAAATTTCATTTCAAAATAATATTAAGAAAATTTAAAACAATAAAATATAATATTTAATGAGTTAATCACCTATATATTGTCTATGTAAAGCTTTTTTACACTGACAACCAATTATATCTTTTAGTTGTGTCATGCCATTGTTAAAAGTAAATGTATTTATAGTGACATGGCATAACTAGAAGATATAATTAGTTACCGGTATATAAAAACTTTACACTGAAAATGTATAGGTGATTAACTCATATTTAATTCCTAAAAAGGTGATATACGTACTTTAAAAGACAATTATTTATTTCCACCAATTGGATAATTCAGGCTAGGCAATAAGTCGATGGTGAGCCTCAATCATAAATGAAAATATCTTGGACTATGGCCGTTGACAAATTATATATTTGGCAAATGTATCTTAGCCATAACAGAAATTAATGGACTTGTTTGACCTTTTGCATGGAATAGCTAAGTATCTCAAACAGCTAGGGGGTCTTCTATGCTTATTGGAAGATAAAGATAAATGTAAGAAACAAAGTTGCTTATTTCTAATTGGACACTCAAGAGATCGTCTGTGATAAATTAATCTTAGCTTACCAATACATAAATGAGAGATGATAGGCAGAATGTCCAGAAGCGGCCCAAGTATGAATCTGCTATGTAAGCTCCAAGAATTGGTGTTATCCACACAGTTCCTGACCAATTATTCACATTCCTCACAGATGAAACAGTATCTTCATGAAGTTGGCTAGTAAGGTAATTCACTAAGTTGGAAGCAACTCCATAGAAGGCCATCCTTTCAAATGCTTCATAGCCTTCAACATCAAACAATAATTAAATGAAGCAAAACTCAAGCATCATATATCATGTCACATGAAAGGGTTTCTTTCTCTTTTTCTCAACAGAACAAAATATTCGAGATTGAAGAAAGCTAGTGAAATTAAAAGAATATGGCAAATTATAATAAGAGCTTAATAAAAAAGAGAAAATATTTGGTTAGAAATATTTATGCTGACCAAGAAGAAAAACACAAGCCTTCCATTTGCCAGTATTAGATGAAAGAGCAGGCTGGCCGCGGAAATCAACAGTACCATCTTGGGTATGATCCATTTTGGCTTCCATTATTACAGATTGATATTAAAGGGAGAGTATTGTGATACTAAAGAAGAAAGCAATGAAGATAGAAAGAGATCAACGATATGTTAAGAAAGAGGTTTTGGCAGCCACACACATATATATAGTGTGGTGTCGGCACTCAAATCACCTATTATTTTCCTATTTTCTTGCATGCAAATAAGAAAAAAATGTGTCTCACGTCACTTTCTTTTTTTACATTCCCATAACACCCATTATCATATATATATAACATCCAACTCCTACACATTGACAGAGGGTGGATTCAGAGGTTGCTATAAAAAAGTTTAGGATTTGTTCAAAAGACCCTTGTAAACATTCTTTTCTTTTCATTTGTAAAGCATGGAATCGACCATTTCAATATATAAAAAAATAATCAATTTAAAAATGTGGTTAAAAATTAAATTTAAAATAAAAATTCAGACATTCTAAATAAACCCCATCTAATAGATATCTAAACCCTTGTACACGTGTATGGGAGGGACTTAAAATTAAAACAGTTGATACTAAAAGGCTTGTTTCTGCACATGAACTTGAAAATTAAATAAATAGATACTATTAATAATTTCCTCGCAACTTCCATATATAGTTAAATAATTGGCTTTAGCTTATATTACAGAGACATCAATCGTTGCGCATGCCTCAAACTATGGATTGATTGCTAAGTTGCTATATTTAACTGAGAATGTAAAAGAATAACTTAATAGATTTTGAAGTGGGAACAGTGTGTTAAAAATTCTACAATGAGGTAGTCTAGTACTCTATCTGTCTCAAATTAAGCATATACCAAGTGCTTTGGTCTCTAAAAACTAGCTCTGAGAGCATTGCCATAACTAGCACGGCTGAGAGGATGTAACTAACATTGCATATATATTCGACACGTTCATTACCAGTGACTCCTCAAGCATAGAGTGTGTGAGTGCTGTGAAGAATTAATCAGTGACTTCAAAATTGAAAGGTCTCCAATCACAATGTCCTCCCTGTCAATACACGTCTCGAAGCTTTGACCGAGTAATAATGATGATAATCAATCATACCAACAACGCTAACCACAAACTAATTAATAAAGCATGAGGTTACTAATTAATGAAGCAGAAATTAATCTCTTCAATTCTTCCTTAACCAGTAAAACCCGTATCTTTCTCATCACAATCAAATTTTAATATTGCTACATGTACAAGATAAATCAAAAGATAACATGTTTCACACACACTTGAGCAACTTGCACAATTTGAAAAAATCTTTATGGCGAAAGCCTGTAGCCACAGCGATGTCGAGATGTAGGAGTGTCCACAAATTATGCGGATGTTTGTTCCTTCAATAAAAAGGAAACATAATTTCCATATGACCAAATTGAGGCCAAACAAAGATCCATGTTTGTCAATAAACAACCACTAGTTTTCAAGAAGATAATTGCTTATAATAATTACAAGAGCAACGACCTATTTCATTTTTCACACGCGTATTTCTCATTCCTAGCTAGCATTGTATTTTCCCACCATTCCAAGTCAAAAATTACAACGGCCAGTACTAGTAGTTGCTGCTTATTACAGTCTCACACCAAATGGGGTTGCCAATCGAATGCATAAAATAAAGATTTCAATGAGACAATCTTTAATTATTATAAGATTTGAACTTTTTTTTTTCTTTTGAATTAGCATAAGAAAGTGAGTTATACATCAAACATTTTGTTAATTACTGTTTATTCTGACTAAGCAAAAATCATGAATGGCACCTAAATGATTCATAAGACCATAATTGAAGCGTTGCATATGATTGAGGGAAACCACTTAAGCGACATATGCCCTTCCCCAGAAACTGCTGAA